TAGTTTGAAACTGGTACCATACAAAATAGCGATCAATAGAATTAGTTATTATTGGACAAGATGGGTGTGTTAGCAGGTGAAAAATTATAGAAATGGATAACTAAAAGCATTAAAAAGCAAATTGTTAGTGTAATGAAAAATATACTAAATCACTTTAATTAATTTAATTATGTTTATGTGTTATGCAGGTTCATCTCAACAGCGTAACCCTTAGTTGATGCTTAGGTGTTCCTTCTGTATAATCACTTAAGTTAATAGGAAGATGGAAGAATTTTCCATTTAGGTTGTATATAACAATACTTCTATATTGTATCTATAAAGTTATGAAGTGTTATTTTTTAAAAAACTATAGGTAGTAAATTGAAATTTAAAATCTTTATTATGCTAACATATGAATGCAAATACGATGGTTGATTAATGGTTACTTCTTAAATCCTAGGATTCTTCTCATTTTTATAACTTGATAATTGTGTGAATTTTATCTTAAAAGTTTATAGTTTGAGACTTGAAATGATTGGATTGTGTATGATCAATAAATATGGGATGTGTACAAATGATTTATCGATAACTTGAGACCTCCCGATATAGGGGAAGCTCTGCCAAAATTTTGATAGAAATTTCAATAAACTGTATATGAGATCAACAAAGAAAAAAAATTACCATGTTTCTTTTTGAAGGTATGCATTGTTTTTGATACAGGGGACGTTACATCATGGGTAACAAAGCCTAAATCCAGCTTCGCCTTATATAAGAATTCACAATTACTTGTTTACCAATGACTTAAGAGTCATCTGTGTTTTTCTAATGGATATGCTTTTACATATCTAGATTGGTAAATTTAAAGAATTAAAGATTGTATGGAATGAAGAGTCATAATTATCACTTGTTAAGACTTATTCAACTTGCTTACCACGATTTATTGTCAAAAAAGATATGGGATACAATCACAAATATCAGTCACTTTTTTAGATATATGTAATCTAATAAGTTATATAACCAACACATGAAAAAGCTTGAAATGGATATCGTTTAGACAGTATACAAACTTAAGATGATATTCCCTCTATTTTTTTCCGAGTCAATAGAGCAATACCCATACATTCACTATTTGAGGCAAAAGTTAGATGCCTTGCCCAATATAGATACATGTATTTATTTAAGAGGTTAGGGATTACACATGCATCCTATTTAAATTTCCATTATTATTTTTTTTAATTTAAAACATCCATTTAATTTCATGTAGATATGTGTTTAATCTAAAGAAAAAAGTTAAAAGCAAGATGCATGTTAAATCTTCAATATACAAGGCTTATATTATTAAAAAGCTTTCAACATTCTCATACTATTTTAAGCCTCACTTAAGAATAAAAATCAACCACATTCCAAAATATGATGACAGTAGAGAAGTATTTCAAGTGGGAATTTGTTAATATTTTCTCATTCTAAACAACCTTTTACCAAAAAATACAGTGAGGAGAAAATACTAAATAGAAATTGAATTAATATGTACATAATTATGTGCTATTTAACTACGATGAATTAAGATATTTTATTTAGTAAGTAAAATATTAACAAGCTATTATTTTAAAATATTTTTCTCTTATACTCTCATAAACTGATTAGATTGAAAAAAATTTCATATGCAACATCGTTAATTTTTATTATCTCAAAATTCACATTTGACTAAATCTTAAAATTTTCAATTACAACAATTTACTGTGCGATTCATCATAACACTTAAGTTCATTAAACCCTTCTTTTTAACTATTAAGGTTATAATCATGTACTAGGTTTGTTAATTAGGAGGGAATGCTAGTTGTAGTTTTAATTTACTATATTTAGGCTCATCTTTGGTCTGAGATAACCAAACTTATACGATTATACAAGGAGTTGTTGTAAACCCTTACTATTACATGTGATTTATCTTGTTGCCCACCTAGTCCCATTGAAGATTCGCATTCATCTTCTCCTCCAACTTATATCCTCTAGGTAAATTGCATTCAATAATATTTTTTAAATTAATAATAAAATTTTAGTTTTTAATTTTAGTTTTATTCTTTTTATTTTTTTATTTTTTTTAATTTTTAAAAATATATTAGATGGCAAATGGAATGAAATTTGAATCACAGATGGAATGACCAACTATATTGACAATTTGAATCACAAATGGAATTACCGATGGACTAAATCTCTCAAAAAATTCTAGAGAGTTGAAAAAAATTACAGGGTTTTTTCACTAACAATTACATATGAAATTACTGACAGAATAAGTTCCTCCAAAAGTTTTGAAGAGTTCAAAAAAATTTCAGGACTTGCCACTGACAATATGTAAATCTTCGATGGATTAATCCCATTAGTAATATGAATTTGATCATTGATGGAACTACTAATGATTTAATTTGTCGATAATATATTATACTCACTGATGAAATTACCGATAAAATTATACTAGTATTTTTTTATTTTGTTTGGCATGCTTTTTTGATTTGTAAAACCATTAGTGATTATATTACCATCCTTGATTTCATTGGTAGTTTTTTTATTTCCAATAGAATTAGTATTTAAATACTAACAAAATATTCCATTAAAATTATGCAATATTTTCCAACATCGCAAAATCAATGGATAGTGTTGTAGATGTGAAAATGGGCAAAACCGAGAGGCTATATACAAGGGCATGAATCTATGACAATGGACAGACTTGGTGCAAGGGTGCTTCAGGTTTGGTCCGACGAGGGTAACGAGTTCTTTTAATGGGGGAGGTTTGTTAGAAAGTTAAATTCGCCAAGGTTGAGGCTAATGAAATCATTACTAGACAATAGCTACAGGATGGCAACCTGTATGACAGTAGTGAAAATTAATAGATAGTGTTGTAGATATGAAAATGGGCAAAACCGAGAGGCTGTATGCAAGGGCATGAATCTATGACAATGGACAGACTTGGTGCAAGGGTGCTTCAGGTTTGGTCCGACGAGGGTAATGAGTTCTTTTAATGGGGGAGATTTGTTAGAAAGTTAAATTCACCAAGGTGAAAGCTAATAAAGGCATTACTAGATAATAGCTACGGGATAGCAACCTGTATGATAGCAGTGAAAATCAACACCATGCCACAACTAGCATAATAGTGTGCTCACCAGAGTTGGAAACTCAGATGATGGATTGTCCAAGGCTCAACAAAATAGTATTGGAATGATGCGGATTGTATCAAATTCAACAATACTGATAAAATCAACAACGCTGAGAAATTCAACAGCATCGACAAAATCGATAATAAGAGCTAATAATAGGTCTGGACAATGGACAATCCATGACTAGACATAATACACTACTAGTATGAATGACAGCACACATTGACAGTGACAACGTGCATGGGCAGATTCGACGGTAGTGTGCGTTAATAATTCAGCAGGACATAGATTAATGTTTGACAGAAATCCTGACTTGGATGACGGATAGTCCAAGACATGCAGATACCTATTCTAGCAGCGTGGAAGTGGCAGAAGGGATAGTTAACTTACTGGGTGGCAGGCTATGAATGAAAGAAGCATCAATTCAGGGCAATTATTGGCAGTTTTCCAAAAGGCCAAACTGACCAAAACGTGACCTACGTCTTGGGAGATAGTTTTGTTGTATTATTCAATGTAATAGATTATACATAGGTGCGTAGATAATTTAAAAAGATTCTTCTTTCACGTATACAACAAAAGACAGATGTCCATGCTTATATTTTACTTCAATTATCTTTTTTATTTTATATATTTTTTATTTATTTTATCATACAAGTTAATTTAAGTTGTCGAGGACAAATAATTTTTATTTTTCTAAACACATCATGCAAATACAACTTATTTATATATAATACAAGTGAAAAAAATTTAAAGATAAATTACAACAATTTCTTTGAAATATTATGAAGTCAAAAAAATTTAAAAGATTAATTATTATTTTAAAAAAGTGAAAACTAAACAATTTAAAAAATTTAAAAAGATATTAATTAAAATTTAAATAAAAAAATAAAAAAAATCATGTCAAAATAAAAAGACCAAGACCTTACATTTAAATTTTCTTTTTCTTTTTAAGAGCAAAATAAAAAGACCAAGACCTTACATTTAATTTTTTTTTTTTTAAGAGTGAACAATACATTGTTTGTTAGGCAATTTTCTAATATTGTGAGTTTTTTAACTTAAAATTTTATTTTCAAATTTTTTTTTACAAAAACAACAATAATAATCCTTACAACCTCAATAAATCCATTTTAAACTCATTTTTTTTCTAATTACTCTAAAAAAAATTAAAGACCCCAACCAACTTCTCCTAACATGATTAATATTAAAAAACAACAGGATCTTCATTAAACTCTCATCACAAATTGACTTTTTTTTATGATCACAATATAACCACTAAACAACATTATATCTCCTTTATCTTTTTTTTATATCTCTCCTCTCTCTCTCAACATCAAGCAATTAAAATATTAAAAAAATGAAATTCTAGACTGAAGTATAGAAAGATTAAATAACAACCAACTAAATATAAAAACCGAAAGGGCCAAAGTGAAGTTTTCCATGCAAAAATGAAAAAGATGTTATATTTTTATTAAGTTTAATCTTTATTCATTAATTATTATTTTTTCAAATACAACTTAAAATTCTATTTTGCAAATTAAATTTTTAATTTACCATTGAAATATTCAACAATAATTTATCATTGAAATATTCATCAACACTTCACATATATATAAAAGCACGCAAAACCAAAAGGAATCTCAAAACATAAAATCATGCTAATATAACTTGAAATAATGACATTGCAAAGAAATAAAATTGGATGACCCAATGTTTTTCTAAAAAAAAAAAATAAATACATAAAACTGTACAGTGAAATCCACAATTTAGCTGAGTGGGTGTAAACAGTGAGCTGCACTGCTCATAATATTCAATTCTTTTTTAGTGGTTTGTATGCTAATAGTAATAATAATATAATACATACATGGAAAATACTTTGACAGGAAAACGCAAGGAAAATTTCAGTAAGAGAAAGAATTCATAATAACTTGTGCTTTTGTCCAATTTATGGAACACTTTACACGATTCCTTTTTTACTCTCTGCTTGCATAACTAAAGCGTTGCTCTTCAAACATTGGAGACCTGGGAAAGAATCCTACATCTACGACAAGGGGCAACTGCTCTGGAAATCATATATTTCAAGAATAAATACTGCACATTGACATAAATTAAAAACAACAAACAAACATGATCACAAAAGTCATCAAACAAACCTGCTTATCTTATTACCAAGCCAAGCCAACCTCCTCGACTTTGCATTGTCAAAACCAACCCGGGATAACATGGCAGGCAATTTGCTTGCGTCTTCTGCAACATGGACCTATACATACAAAGTGAAACCACTGCAGGAAAGGAGAATATCCTCAACGAGTCCTATCTTCCATGGTATTCTCGTCTCTACAGATCAAACAGCCTGTGCAACAGACTTCGTGGTGTTTGAACCTTCTTTCCCGTTTAACTTGGATCTATCTCTGATGGGCTTCTGAGAGCTAGGTGTCCCTCTAGCAGCATTTCTGCTATTCCTAGCTGCCTGAATGCCAGCACCTCCCCCTGCTTCAACTAAATTAAGTCATAAATGATGAGAATAAAACTGATGGTGCCTATCATAAACACCCTATAAACCCTGCAGGACTGGACCAGGACCAGGATCATAGTCATGCCCACACAAAGTAAGCATCCATCATTTGAGTGTACCCTGAGTGATTTTGGGCATAACTCATAAGAAAGGAGAAGCTGAAGAAGATATGCTTATCTACCTCAATACATGTGAGAACAGCCACCTATATTATGCATGTTTGGTCAAAAACATTGATCTGAAAATGACGAGCTCCTACGGGTATCTATTGCCTGGTTTAATGTTTATTGACTATTGAGAGGGGGAAAAAGGTAATTTAATGGGAATTTCAAAAAGAAAGTGCACCATGGCCCTTTTTGATGGACAACAGCTGATTCAGAATTCATAGTCAAGTGATCATTTTCTTTGACAAGCACTGTGGCAATCCTTGCATACTTTTGAACCTACATGGGCTTTCGTGCAAATGTGTGGGCATGATGGAGACAAATGAGAGAAAAAACTAACCACTGTTAGGCAGAGACAATCTCTTCTTTGCCTGTTTATCTAGTTGGGTGGTTCTCTCCTTTGGGTTGCTTTGAGATCTTGTAGCCATAGCAGGTTTTGAATTGGCTTCTTCAACCAGGTCTTCAAGAACTGGCTTTGGCTTTGGTTTAGAAAAAAGTGTGTTGGGTGCTTCTAACATGCCTGCTGACTTACTAGGTGAGGAACTGCCACCGTTACAATGAGATGGACCTTTTTTCTGACTTGAAATGGTTGACTGAAGATCTGAGGCAACAGCTTTCTTGACAGTTGTTTTTAACTGGGATTTGCTGCCATTCTTGACCTCATCACCTGTTTCATCCTCACGAATCATCACTCCATCTCTAAGATTTATGTCAAGAAAGCGGTTCTCCCATGGGCGAACAGCCATCCATCTCTCCAACCAGTTCCAGCCCCAACTGCTTTTATCTGGTTCAAAACCAGAGGGAACAGCCTGGTGTCTTGACCCAGCCTGCCACTGTGAAAACAGAAGATCTTATATATTAATCAGCAGCAGTAAGAAATACGTTTTAAGGGTTTCTATGGAGATATTGTCACTGTTCAAATAAGAAACTACTTAGCAGCATAACTCTAGACAAATGAAGTTAGAAAATATCTGCCTCTTTTTTTCTCTTTTCTCTGGTAGAGAGAAGAAAATTTCTGGTTGCAACTGATTTTCCACAATGCCATGCGTCGGCTTGCAAGCCTCACATTCTACCTAGGTCATAGTAGAATTTTACCTCACAGCACTAATCACTGAAAGAAATTGGATACATGTAGACCATCAATCATACACACAGCGAGAAGTGTACCAGTAATCAATGAAGAAATATTTGAAAGTGTACAAGTTAAACTCACAAAGCTTTTGCTGAAATGAAGGTTACAATATCCATGCAGAGGGAAAAGGCAAAAACAAAATACCAGATATTCACCTTTTTTGTTCTAGTAATGAATACAATGCCATTGAGCTAATACTATCCCTTTGTTGTCAAAAACAGGTTTTAATGAGAGATTTTACATCATACTCTAGCTCAAAAACCCTAGCTGACATCAATGATCACTCAAAGGCACATTTTTTTCCATCTGCAATCCAATTTCCAGAATGTAGGCTTATATAAATGCAAATTACAATCAAATTCATAAAAGATGCAAAGAAGTAAAGCAATGGAGCTATCGCATTTTTACCTGATGAGCCAGAGCATATGCAATTGCTCTCTCACGCTTAGCTGCAGCCTCCTGCCGCTTCAGCAACTTGGCTTGAATTTGTTCAACAGATCCCACACTATCACACCATCCTTCCTGTGTAAAAGTGAAATTGATATAAGGCACTTGGCAAGCCTAACAAAAATTAAAGCTGCTTGAGAAAACAAACATGAGCAATTAATCAATGAAGTATCTTTTAAACACTGTCTAGTAATGGTAAAATAAAACATTTGTAGTTTATAACTTTTTTTTTCCATGACTTTATTATCCTGCACTTGTATATCTCACATAACCCATTCTGTTACTCCAGAAGAACAGACACCAATGAAATCCTAGTTAACTTTTTTCACATTGAGGCAGAAACTAAGGTAGAAAAAACAATTATTAGGCAAACACAATTGGAAATTCTATCCAAATATTGGATATTTGGTCACCACTGAAGACCATTTTGCATGTACCATTTTTGACGTATACAAATCAAATTTATGTATTATTATAGTTAAAAATATTCAGTTCTGCATTTCAACCAATGCTGGTCATGGTTGTCTACACAAGAAAACATCAACAGGATATTAAGAGTTGGGACAAGAAGATGCTTAATCCTTACAGAAGCTGACAGAAATAGAACAAGTTTAGAGGAAACAATAGACATTTATCATTAAAAATTAAAAATACTAAAACTCTCCAACTCATTAAACAAATTGCAAGGCTCAAAAGCCTCTGGTGAAAAAAATTAACAATACATCAGTCTGGTTGTCTAAATCTATCAAATGTAGCTGCATGTGCTACCATTCCAGCTTTTCGCCATTTATGTCATGAAAAACATTTCATATATAGACTTAAGAAACAAAATATATAATCTGATGCGTTAATAATAAAACAACTAATGTAAGAACATTGACATCAGGGAAAAAAAGAGCAACAAAAGAAGAAACTTGCACAGTTAACACAAAGAACAACTAAGGTCAAGGTTTTCCATAAGAATAAGATTTACCAGGCATGCACATATATAGACTAAGTACATTGCACAATAGTGGAAACATGTTTCTATATCTGATCAGAAAAACTCATTGTTTCTTACTTCTATTTCTCGAACCCGGGCCTGGTTAGCTAGTTGTTGCTGAAGTTTCTGTTGAGCTGTTTGACTTTCCAATGCTAAGCGAACACGCCTTGCACGGACTCGAGCCTGAACTCTCACCAAAGCTTGCATGCAGCGAAGAGTTATTGCAGCTTGTTTCCTCACAGCATGGCCCCGGACAAGGGCTTGCAGTCTCACTAATCCTTTCAAAGCTCGCAGAGCTCTTCTTGCCTTGTGTGTTTCCAAAACCATTCAAATTGTTATCAGAATTGTGAATTGAAACTTAAACGCAGTTGAAATAATTTAGAAAATTAAAAAATAAAAAGTTGGTGAATCAGAATAAATGAAGGCACACAATATGTAGTTGCAATGTCATTTTCACAAATAGCACCAAGAAGGTAAACTGGATTACTTTGGTCCTTAAAATAGCTCTCTAAGGGAAATTACTCTTCCCTTCATTATGGTGATCTTCCCATAGAGATCTATAGAAAGATTTTCAACCAAATTACCATCTTTGAACAAGTAGGAAGAAAATATGAAGAAAACACCCCACCCCTAACCCAATGGCTGTAATTGGAAGCTCATCGTACCATCTTCACCCCTAGCCAACTAAAAAAGTTCACTAAATTGGGTATTAAGAGATGAGTTTCCACATCAAGTACCATGCCAAAAAGAAAATGGAATCCTCTCTACCCACTTCAGAAACAACAACGGTACCATGCCAAACCAAACCCACCTGACACATTTCTGAAGGTTTATTAAGCATCCCCTTTATCACTTAGAAACCCACCCCATACCTTACCACTATTATCAATACCAAAACAAAGTACTCCTATACAATTCCCAGAGCTACTAACCTGAGAGAGCTTTATCAGAACACATGAGAATTCCAAAGCCCCAACTCCCTAAATGTGGAGGATATTTCCCCAGTTGATATTTAAAACTTTGTCTATGTTTCCCATAAGCATCTCCGTTGAATCTTTTCAGGCCTAGTTGCAATTGAAGAGGGATGGAGGCTAAAGATATCAAAGCAAGAGGGAGACTGGAAAAGATAATCTAATAAAGTGGTCCTCTCATCCTTAGGAAGATGGTCTCCACTAGGAGGTAAAATGTGAACCTCCTTTTAGTTTTCTCAACAATATTTTCATGCCCTTGTATCCTTACAATTAGTACTCAAAGGGAGACCCAAGCTATGGACAGATGTCCTATCTCACATAACAAAATGATAGACAAGAAATTAAAATATGTCCCCTACCCAATATCAATAGCATATCCACACTCCTTACACTCAGTATGAATGCATTCTTGATTGAATCAGACACTACTGGTATAAAGAATGCTTATACCACTATTTTAGTTTTAAACATGGAGGATTATCATGTGTTGGCTAAATAGAGCGCATCAATCACATAACAGAGACCTCAGGCTTCCTTCTTCACCATGCATGGTCAATTGAACTTGCATTCTTATTTTTTTCCCCCAACAATTTTAACAATGAGGAATTTAAAACAGCATTTCATAGCACGAAGATATAATAGACGCAACCAAACTACACAAACATTTAAAATCCTACTTCGTGTGATAACTGACATGACATAAACAAGTCATACCAGAAACCCCCGGAAAGCTGTTTGAATGCGAGTGGCAGCCAATTGTTCTCTCATAAATAGTTGATTATGAGCTATATCCTGAACTTGAAGCGAATCAAAAGGAGATTCAGAAGTATCTGGGATGGAACGAATGTTGGCATCACCAGGATTATGATTATGATTATGAAACTCCTCTTGAATTTTATCAGCATCAAACTCAACCGAATGCTTTCTCCTATGTCGAGACTTGCTAGCAGTCGCCCCCTGCTATGATCGAAGAACAACAGCGTATAGAAGCCATCAAAATCAAAACTTGAGACAGAAAAACAGCATAATAATAAAAGTAAAGAAATAAATAAACTCACATTTTCCTCTTTGTCCAAAGACTGTGACTTTTCAGACTTCTTTAGACCAACCAAAGCTTTAAACCATTTCCCTGAGACACCCATATGGTGCCACTTCCTGTCACACGCACAAGATGAAATTAATAAATTTAAATTCTTCTTATTTACTATCAAAAAAATAAAAATAAGTTGTCAAGACTGTGAATAAGAAAACAGGTAAAATCGCCACACCAAAAAGAAAAAGAAACCCTAGATAATTCCAGTTATGAAGAAACGAGCTTTCTTTGTGAATTTGAACCAAATCGACCCAATTAAAGCTCAAAAGCAGCTAAAATCCATGAGACAAATGCAGATCCCTCACAGATCACGAAGCAGCAAATGCAGAATTCACCATAAGATCATAAGAAGATACCTTTTTGACCGTTCGACCTTATCAATCCCAGCCCGCAAGTCCAAACTCGCTCGCTCGCTGACCTGAATTTGGATTCGCTAAGGAAAAATGAAACTCTCTCCAATAATTGTGATTCAAAAAGACTACAAAACAAAACAAAAATTCTCTCTCTCCAGATTTTGTTATTTTTAATTTAAATTTTCAATGGGTACAAAGAGAAGGCATGGAAGTAGAAAGACAGTGAGGAGCGAGGGCCACTGTAGGCTATTACGCCGGGGTGGATTATTATTGAGTAAACTTCATTATTACTGGGTAAATTTTAGTCTTACCCCTACAGATTCATTGATGTTTCACTTCAGGTCTTATATTTGGAACTTCCCAATATTGCTCGTGTTTTCCAGAAGAATTCCATTTTTTTTTTTTCAATTTCTTAATATCTCGGATTATCTTGTGCGTCCGAGTGATTTGAAAGGTATAATCTCTACACATCAACCTGATGAATTTTAAGAAATTAAATAAATTTTTCAAAGTATTAAACCTTGAAAATCAAACTTCACTTTAATATAAGAAAATGATTTTACTCCTTTTACTATAAATAAATAACAAAAAAACCCATTTTATTTTTTTCTCTCTTTTTTTTCTTTCAACCCATTAATGTCATAGTACTCAAAAAACCTTAAAACCCTGGAAAATTATTTTTTAAAAAAAAGCATATAAAGTAAGATATTTAAGCATATAAACCCATTAATGTATTGTTTTTCAACCCATTTTTTTCTCTCTTTTTTTTCTTTCAACCCATTAATGTCATAGTCCTAAAAAAACCTTAAAACCCTGGAAAATTATTTTTTTAAAAAAAGCATATAAAGTAAGATATTTAATAGTTAACGTTGGATATTGGACCTTTATGAAAACTAGAAAGGTGACGTTTGCAAGTTTAAACCATATATAGATAGAATTAGAATGCCGATGAATTTATAGGGGGTAAGAATGACGTGGGAAAATTTCAAACCGTTGCTTTCATTTTTAAACAGTGAACGATGCCGTTTCTTAGTGCGTGGAGTCATTTTCAGGCTTGCGAGGCAATCACGGGGATTCTGTCGTTCCAGACACTCACCGAATCAGGCACAGCCAGAGCCAGGCCAATTCGATATGGCCCCCAGTGGCGAAAGTTAGAAACACTCGGGTTTGCTTGAGATTAAAATATATCTTGTAATGAATAAAATAAATAAAGTTAATTAATTGCCTTGGTTAAATATAGTAATGCGTAGGCAACAAATAAGTAAAAGTCTTATAGTAGGAAAACTATATAATTGTTCGAGGCGGGCTCGTTTAATCTCTTTTTTTTGGATATTAAAAAATATATATAGAATTAATTTAATAAACTTGGTTGATATAACAGGTTTAAAAACACTCTAAATAATTAAAAAATATATAATTTAACAAAAAAATTAAGATAATATCTTTTTTAAAGTGTTGAAATAATAACATATTAGATTGACTAGAATCAATTCAGGTTAACTTATCAAATTTATTACCAGGTTATGAGATTATAATAACTTTATAGAAAGTAAATTAAAAAAAAATGCAAAACTAAATTCTTAATCAAAAAAAATACAAAACTAAATTCTTAATCAATTCAATTTTGAATAATAAAATTAAAAATCCAATTCAATTGAAAAAATAATTCAAGTTGACCCTGGTTAACCTTCCAAACTTGAGTTACAAGACTGAAATAACTCCATAAAAAACACATAGAAACAAATTATGAAGTTTAATTCATAATAAATCCAATTTTAAAAGATAATATTAAAAACAAATAAAAAAAACATAAAAAATTAGTCAAGTCAACAAAAGAAACTCATGACTCAAGTTATGAAACCAAGAAAATCTTATAAAACACACACTAAAATAAATTATAAAACTAAATTTTTAGTCAATCTAATATTGAAGGATAAGATTAAAAAAAATTAAAAAAAAAAAAAAAAACTCAATTCAATTGGTTTAACCTGCGACCCAAGTTATAAGACTATAACAAGCTCATAGAAAGCTTATGAAACTCAATTTTTAATCAACTCAATATTAAAGAATTTAATTGAAAATAAAATCAAATAAAAAACAATGCTAAATCAATTCAAATTAACATGTCAACCCCGAGTAAGGAGATTAGGATGACTCCGTATAAAGAAAATCAAAATAAATTATTAAGTATAATACCTATTAAACCTATTGTTAAAAAATAAAATTTAAAAAAAAAGTTGAAAACTAAAAAAAATTAGTTCTCATAAATTTTTTTTATTTTTAAAGATTAAAAAGTACAATGCCTTGGCATTTCACTATTCATTGCTACAATGAAATGCCAAGGGTTTAGTATATTATAATAAATTAGAGAAGAAAGAAATAATAATAATAAGATAAAAGATATGGTGGTTAAGATGTTTGTTAGCTATATTAATGTTCAATAGATAGAATAAATTTTCTTAAATTATATTGACAAAAAGAAAGAAATGAAAAGGAAGGGTAAGTCTAATCAGGGCCATGCTAGCCCAACAGAGCTCGAAAGGGCAAAAAAAAAAAAGAAGAATGAGAAAGAGAGGAAGATGAAGAGAAGGGAGGAAAATGAATCTTTAGCCCAACCAAGCTCAAAGAAAGAAATAGAAAAGAAGGAGAATAAGAAATAAAGGAAGAGAATGGGAGAAGAAAAATAAAATTGGTCCAACCAAGCTAACACGACCAAAAGATTGATTTCTTCTTCTAAGTGTAGGAGTCTCGAAGTAATAAATAACCCGACAAGACTAGAGTCGAACCATAAGGAGGTTAATTGTATAAATTATAAATAACTACAATATAACATCAATAAGAACAC